GGCGGGTGGAGGGTGCAGGGGCAAGCCAGGGGTGAGTTATTGGTGGAGGCGCATGAACCGGGGCGGGCATGCTGCACGGCTGGGCTTCGCTGCCGCCCTGCCACCCCACCACCTGCTCTGTAGATGCACACACTCTATGCCCACGACTGCGCCATCATCCCACCCTACACACACACGCGCACATGTGCCGCCCCGCACGCCATTCCCAAGCAGTGCCCCGTCCTGCCCCCCCAACCACCACCACCCCACAGGAGCACCGCCTGGAGCTGGGCAAGGATGTGGAGCTGGGGCTGTATGTGGCGTCGGGTGTGGTGGTGTTTGACCTGCACCGCCGCTCGGTCAAGTGGAGCCAGCACCTGGACCTGTCCACAGACTACACCTCCTTCAAGGCGTACGCCTACTCGGGTGGGTGGCAGCTGGGTGGCAGCGGGGTGGCGGCTGAGTGGGTGTGGTGGTGTGGTGGGGGTGCAGCACGGGGCACTGCTTGGGAATGGCGTGCGGGGCGGCACATGTGCGCGTGTGTGTGTAGGGTGGGATGATGGCGCAGTCGTGGGCATAGAGTGTGTGCATCTACAGAGCAGGTGGTGGGGTGGCAGGGCGGCAGCGAAGCCCAGCCGTGCAGCATGCCCGCCCCGGTTCATGCGCCTCCACCACCAACTCACCCCTGGCTTGCCCCTGCACCCTCCACCCGCCCGCCCCCCGCAGCCCCCACGCTGGCCGACATTGACAACAACGGCAAGATGGAGATCATCATGGGCACATCCATGGTGGGGTGGTGCTGGGGGTGGCTGCGCTGCTGTGGGCTGTCGGCGTGGCTTGAACCAGGGTTGCCCTCCACTGCAACCAGCCCAAGCGGCGCATGCGCAACTGCTGCCGGCCGCATGTGGAGGAGGCCGCGGTCCTCACTTCCTTGGGCGCTGCCCCCTACCTCCCCCTGCAGGGCTTTTTGTATGTGCTGGACTGCTACGGCGTCACGCGCCCCGGCTTCCCGCTGCAGATGGGGGACATCCAGGTGCGGCTGCAGCTCGCCGCAGCAGCGCGATGCGCCGCAGGAGCGCTGCCCCTGTTCTGCTCCACTTCACAGGCTCCGCCTGGCATCACCTTGGCCTCACCCCACCCCCAACCCAACCCCACCACCCCTGCCATCGCCGCCACAGGCCCAGGTGGCCATGGCCGACATCAACGCCGACGGCCAGCTGGAGATGGTGGCGGCCGACTCGCGCGGCAACGTGGCCGCCTTCACCGCGGCGGGCAAGGAGGTGTGGGAGACGCACCTCAACAGCCAGATCCACCAGGTGGGGCGGCTGAGGCAGGCAGGCAGGCAGGCGGGGAGGCGGTGGCGGCGGTGGTTGGCTGCCTGGCTGGCTGGCCAGTCATGGGCTGGCTGGCTGGTCGGCCCGGGGTAACAAAGGGTCAGGCCAGATGGCCACAAGCCACCACCACACTTGCTCACACGCTGCACCCGCTCCTGCCGTAGAACGCTGTGTTTGGTGACATTGATGGCGACGGGGAGCTGGAGGTGGTACTGGCCACCTTCAGGTGGGAGCCCGCTGGCTGCCTGGCCGCTGGGGCCCACCAGCGCCCCCACGCATCCGCCTGGGTCCAGGCCTGGGCCCCCGGCGCTGCTGGGCAGCAGCACTGGGCTCTAAGCGCTGCCGCTTGGTGCCGTCC